CACACACACAAAACACCTTACATTCTGGTGTAGATTCTCAGGACATGGTGAATACAAACAAAACAAACAGAAAATAAAGAAAAAAATAAAGAAATAAGCTGGTGTTCTATTCCATACTTCATTGGTTGTATTGGATATTAGACCAAATAGGTTATTTACTGAGAACTGAAATTTTACAAAGCTAGTATTATGCACATAGAAACTAACGGCAACAAAGTACCATTCGCTGTGATGACTGAGATTTCTCCCTGTTATGAACCTTAGTGCTCCAAAGGAAACATCCAACATGTATTCAGAGCTAACAAAGGCCTCTACAAGGAATTACATTGAAAAATAGTAGAAAACCTCTAATGTACAACTGAAATAAAAAAAGAAAAAGCAAAAGCCATAAATAATCACTGAGTGTAGAATTTCTGTTTTCATGAACGATCACATGATATAATAGAAAGGCACATAAGTTAAAACACACACCCACATACAGACAGTTGAAGAATGGAGATCTGGACTTTTTTTCTTGGTTTGAGATTTGCAGTGAGTTTGTTGGAGCTGATGTCAGCTGTTGACTTGGGTGGTTCTGTAAATGGACTGAAACAAAACACTGAGCCTATAGCTGATCTGATTGGTGCTGGTGTCAGTACTGCGGCTTCATCTATGAAGTGTAACCTGCAGGGTTCAACTCGTTTACCTGCATCATCAGAGGATGGAGACATTGTCATTGGAGGTGTTTTTTCTATTCACCCCAAACTTGACACAGTGATTTATAACTACACCACCAAGCCTGAACCTCCAAGATGCACAGGGAGGTTAGTAGGAGGGAGAATAAAAGGAAAACATGGTAAAGGATGGGAGAGGATGTTAGATGTGTACATATGGAAACTGGGTGATTGGCTATGTAATTAATAATGTTTTTTTCTGTATATTTTTTCATCAGTGGCATCATTTTAGATGTATACGTCCTAGTCCTGTTGTGTTTTAAAACAGATATTTATTTTAGGAACAGTTTAATGAAAGACGAGAAAAAAAAACTGTTTACTATATGTTTAAAAATAGGTGTGTTTATATTTAAATTATTTTGAATATTGAGGTAAGCTTTAATTTTTGTTTGAAATCAGCTGATTTAAAGTTGTTTTAATTGGTTTAAAGAAGAGTGCCAAACTGAACTGTTTAGGGGGTTGGGGGTGTTCTGTTTGATTTCTTTCTTGTCTTTTAGTTTTCAAAATGAGGTTTTCTTATTTTTATTAATGTCAGGATTCTCCTGATTGGTTTTGTGCAGCTTGTATTCCCGAGGTTTGCGCTTCTCTCAAGCAATGATCTTTGCCATTGAGGAGATAAACAACAGCACTGAGCTGCTGCCAGGCATCAAACTTGGTTATCAGATATATGATTCCTGTGTCGCAGTTTCCTTGGCTGTGCATGCGGCTTTTCAGTTATTAAATGGCCAGGATCATATCTTTTACAAAGACAAAAATTGTTCCCAATCTGGTATGGTGATGGCTGTTATTGGGAACTCTGGATCCACACTATCTATCAGCATTTCACACATCATTGGGCCCTTCAATGTCCCTCTGGTAAGATATTTAGTATGCAAGAAAATTTCAAATTATATTCGAGGATTTTAAATTATTTTCTGTCACTTTTAAAGAGCTTTGTTGAAATGTTTTTTGAATTAGGTGAGCCCCCTTGCCACTTGTGCCTGCCTGTCAGATAAGCAGCAGTACCCAACATTTTTCAGAACAATTCCCAGTGATCAGTTCCAAGCTGACACTCTGGCCAAACTGGTGAAACACTTTGGTTGGACTTGGATCGGTGCTATCCGTTCTGACTCAGATTATGGAAATGATGGGATGGCATCTTTTTTGGATGCAGCGCAGAAAGAGGGGATCTGTGTGGAGTACTCTGAAGCTTTTTTTCGGACCGACCCTCGCAGCAAGATAAAGAAAATAGCCGGTGTTATCCGCAGGTTTCAGTCCTTTAATTTTTGTTTGTGTATTTTCTATTTATGGCAACCAATGTAGTGTAAACCTAAATTTTTTAAATTGAATCATGTAAAATAAAATGTACAAAGGATTTTTTTTTCTCCACAGTGTTTGAAATTGTTAAATTAATGCCCAGATACCGACTTTGATCTGTAGATTTTACAGTAGGTTTCACAAATGTGTGTGCTGTTGTTGAAAATCAGGTGTATTTTAAATCAGTCAGTGCATTCCATTTACTCCGCAGGTCAACATCAAGGGTTATTGTGGCTTTTGCAGCCTTTGGAGAAATGAGCGTCCTTTTGGAAGAGTTGTCTTTGGATCCCCCACCACCTCGTCAGTGGATAGGAAGTGAGGGCTGGATAACTGACCCACCATTGATGAGTTACAGTTTCTGTGCAGGAGCCATTGGAGTTACCATTCAGAAATCTGTCATCCCAGGTCTGAGAGACTTCCTGCTGGATCTCTCTCCCAGTGAAGTAGCTGCCTCTGCAGTGCTTACTGAGTTCTGGGAGGATGCATTCAACTGCAGCTTGAATAAAAGTAAGGAATTTTTTTATAGCAATAATAAAAACAAAACATTTTTTGTTGTTTTGTGCATTTTGTTTATTTATTTATTGTTTTATATTCTGCATTACTTTTGTTACCTGATTCATATCTAGATATTTAAAACTGAACAAAGACAGCATCTCAAATTGAATGTGTTTCAAAATCTAAATTAGTCAATAACAAAAGCAATAACATTTTTTTCCGTAGTGTGTAAAAGTAATAAATAACTATTATGTGATTTAACAATGAATCAACAATTTTATATTTAAACACAGTTAAGATTTTATCGCTGAGTGTTTTGGTATATGCAAAAAGCAGTGGAAAAAAACCCCACTGATAATTATTTATCTTTTTTTTTCTTTTCAAAAACAGAAGATAAAAGACTAAATGATGAATAATATTCACTATTTTTTTTTTGTTTGGTTTTGTTTTCTGGGGTAGGGGGCAGAGGTTTTAAACATTATTTATTTCAGTATAAATTTTTTCTTTGAGCAGTTCGTTTATTAATGCCTCGGTTTGTATTCCAAATCATACAGAAAAATTAAATCCAGGGGATTTATTATTAATATTATTGTTAATTTTAACTTTGACAAAACAATGTAATTCTGTTTTATCTCTTGTTAGATAACAATATCAACAAAAGAGCATGTGATGGAACTGAAGATATAAGGACACTTGAAAACCCGTACACTGACACATCTCAGTTAAGAATCACTAACATGGTGTACAAGGCTGTTTATGCTGTAGCTCATGCCATTCACAATGCAGTGTGTGAGGAAACAAATCTCATTGCTCAGTGTGACAAACACTTCAAACTAGAATCCAAGCAGGTCAGATAAAATGAAAAGGCATCAATAATTCTAAGATGTTTACAAAGTTTCAAAAATATTTAACCAACTTGAGTGTCTTATGTTATACCTGCCCAACATTTGATTATTTCTTTACTTCCCAGGTTTTTGCTGAACTGAAAAAAGTCAACTTTTCTCGCAATGGTTATCCTGTATCATTTGATGTTAACGGGGATCCAGTTGCTTTTTATGAGCTGGTAAACTGGCAGAAGAGTGAGAGTGGAGTTACTGAACTAGTAACTGTTGGATATTATGATGCATCACTGCCAAAAGGCCAGCAGTTTCAGATCAACAGGAACATAACCTGGATGGATGGTGGCACAAAAGTAAAGAACATACTGATGACAAATTAAAACATAAAAAGCAGCTGTAGAAAACTTTTTTTTCATAACTCTGTGACAGGTTCCACTATCAGTGTGCTCTGAACGTTGTCCTCCAGGAACCCATAAAGTGTTGCAGAAAGGAAAACCCATCTGCTGCTATGATTGTATACCATGTCCTGAAGGAGAGATCAGTAACATGACAGGTAATATTGTTAGTTTTTCATTCACATCTCATATTTTATTACTAAAATGTCCATTCTTGTTTTATTTCCTTAGATTCTCCAGATTGCTTCCCATGTTCCGAGGAATTCTGGTCTAATGTGAAAAGAGATGCTTGTTCGCCCAAACCTGTTGAGTTTCTGTCTTTTGATGAAGTCCTGGCAATCATCCTGGCTACATTTTCTGGTTTGGGCGTGTCTCTGGCCATCATAACAGCAGTTATTTTCTTTCGTCACAGAACATCTCCAGTTGTTAAAGCCAACAACTCTGAGCTGAGCTTCCTACTGCTATTTTCTCTGATTCTATGTTTCTTATGTTCATTAACTTTCATTGGAGCTCCCTCTGAGTGGTCCTGCATGCTGAGACACACAGCCTTTGGTATCATCTTTGTTCTCTGTATCTCCTGTGTTCTTGGCAAAACTAT